GAGTGAGTGAGTGAGTGTGTGTGTGTGTGTGTGTGTGTGAGGGAGTGTGTGAATCCAATGAATCCCCCACAGTGTCTCATCCTCTAAATACACTCATGCTTCAACTAATGAAAGAAACTCAAGCTGAGTCTGACTCCAACCACAACCCCAACATTCATAAAGACACTGACAAAAATATGAAGTATAATTATGATGAAAAATTAAAAAAACGAATTTGACCTCCAAACCAAACTCCAGTGTCATTCGGCCCTAAACAGAACCACAAAATTGGCAAATTATCAATTAAACAATTAAAAGAAAGCTAAATTATTTCAAAATATCGAATTAGAATTAGAATTAGAGAAAGGAAAACATAACAAATCCTGGATTCCTAGAAAACAGCGCCTATGTAAACCTGTGACTTAAATCAAATAGAGGATGAGAAACACTTTCTTCTTGTCTGCCCCAAATACACCACTACAAGACAAATATTCAAATAATAAAAATTTGAATAAAAAATTCAAAAGTATGTAAAATAACGCAAAATCCACTAATCCCACTAATTGTAATTTCATGAAAAACAACAAGTAGTCAATTTCTTTAAAGCATGGAGAAAGTCATAGGTTTGGAATGAGAGTGAAATATTATTTATTCGATAACTATTATTTAAAATTATTATTTAATATTTTATAAAATATTATTTAGTATTATTTAATATCATAATTTTATAAATATTATATATTTATTATTTGAATGAATGAATGTGATTTAAAATTATCCTTATTTATTATTTCATAAATCTTGTTTAATATTGTTATTTGTATTCGATAAAATATTGTTGAGATTTGGGGGATTAATAATGACTGATTGGTGTTTTTGGGTGAATGATTAATTATTTACTATTTTTGTATTATTTTATGCAATATTATTTAGTATTATTTAATATAGTTATTTTGCAAATATTATTTATTTGATAAAATATGATTTAATATTACTTAATATTATCCTTGTTTATAGTTTTATCAATCTTATTTGATATTTATTTATTACTTTATAAAATATTATTTGGTATTATTTAATATAATTATTTTACAAATATTTTTTTATTTTGCATTATTTTATAAAATATGTTATATTACTTAATATTATCCTTGTTTATTTTATAAATCTTATTTACATTTAGTCATTTAGCTGATTTAATATTGAATTTATAAAAAAATATATATATACTATTTAATGTTTAATTATTTTAGAAAATATTATTTGCTATTAATTATAATATTATACAAATAAATATAAATATTATATATAATATTATATAACTATAATATTATTATATAAAGTTTTAAATAATCAGAGGCGGACAGTAGTGAAGTATTTTTACTCTGCTTTACTTTATAAAATATTATTTGGTATTATTTAATATAATTATTTTACAAATATTTTTTTATTTTGCATTATTTTATAAAATATGTTATATTACTTAATATTATCCTTGTTTATTTTATAAATCTTATTTACATTTAGTCATTTAGCTGATTTAATATTGAATTTATAAAAAAAAATATATATACTATTTAATGTTTAATTCTTTTAGAAAATATTATTTGCTATTAATTATAATATTATACAAATAAATATAAATATTATATATAATATTATATAACTATAATATTATTATATAAAGTTTTAAATAATCAGAGGCGGACAGTAGTGAAGTATTTTTACTCTGCTTTAAATGTACATTTTTCAAGTGTCTGTAGTTTATCAGTGTTTTTCTTTAGAAAACTTTACTTCACATTTCACATTTCATATTAAATATCATTTAATACTTAATTACATTAGAAATATAGTACTTTCTTACTTTTACTCAAGTAAAAGTAATTCAAAGTTTTACTTGAGTACAAGAAAGTGCTACATTTTTAATGTTCTTAAGTATTAAAGGATTTTTTTTAATATATTTATTTATGTAGTGCAGCAAAGGTTTTCCAAAGAAAAACACTCTGATAAACTACAGATACTTTTTAAATATACTTGAGTAATGTAAACATACTTCACTACTGTACATCTCTGAAAATTACTTTTCCACGACATTCTAATTTATTGAGATGCACCTGTATCTGCTTTATAATACAATTTAATCTTTTAATATTTTTCCTTGATGTCTGATGAGTTAATGATGACTGATTTGTGTTTTGAGGACAGCAGCAGTAATAAATCCGTGTGTTTTATCTGGCAGCTGTGAGGTGCGTCCCGGTCCGGAGTTCCTCACTCGCTCGTACCGTTTCTTCCACAACAACACGTTTAAGGCGCTTCAGTTCTACTACGCAGACAACCACTGCTCCACGCCGAGCTACAGTGTGCAGGTGCGGGGCCGTCTGCGTCTGCGCCAGCCGTCCTGGATCGTCCGAGGCGGCACTGAGGCCGACTATCAGATCCACAGCATGCATCTGGTGTGTCACTCGGCGTCTGCGGCCCGAGAGCTCGGCTGCGCTTCTTGGCAGCCCAACATCAGCTATGAGCTGTGGAGTGTCTGCGGCTGCGTCTGCGGCTGCGCACTGAATGTCTCCATGCACGAGCTGCAGCTGCTGCGGCTGGAGAAGCAGTATCTGCATCACAGTCTGGATCAGCTGCTGGAGGAGCTTTACCTGGGAGACATTCACACCGAAGCGGCGCAGAGGATGCTCTACAGACCCTCCAGCTACCAGCCCGCGCTGCAGAACACACAGGTGACAGCATCACATGCTTTGATTTCCTGAGCCTTGTCTGAAACCATATGTGACCCAAAACCAGTCACAAGGGTCACTTTTTTGAAATTGAGATTTATGCATTATTTATAAATAAGCTTTCCATTGATGTATGGTTTGTTAGGATAGGACAATATTTGGCTGAGATACAACTATTTGAAAATCTGGAATCTGAGGGAGCAAAAAAATCTAAATATTGAGAAAATCATATTTAAAGTTGTCCAAATGAAGTTCTTAGCAATGCATATTACTAATCAAAAATTAAGTTTTGATGTATTTATGGTAGGAAATGTACAAAATATCTTAATGGAACATGATCTTTACTTAATATCCTAATGATTTTTGGCATAAAAGAGAAATGTATAATTTTGACCCATACAATGTATTGTTGGCTATTGCTACAAATATACCCCAGCGACTTAAGACTGCTTTTGTGCTGCAGGGTCACATATGAAGTATTTCATATGCACTTTTTTAAGTGATATGGGTTTTTGAAAGGCAGATGCAGATTTCTGAGATCTTGAGAGCAGCATAGCTGATATAACACGAAGAACCTTTCACATCCATAGAAGAAGGTAGATTATTCAAATGCTCATAACACTAAGAAACAAAGATTATTTTAAGAACTGTTCACTGAAAGGTTCTTTGGGGAATCAGAAATGGTTCTTCTATGGCATTGTTACAAAAACCTTTCTTTATATTGTGTTAAATCATATTTAGTTTTGCATTTTTTTTAATAAATATTATTAATATTAGTATTATTTATTCTTGTATAAACAATATTTACTATTAGTATTAATTATTAAATAAAATATTTAGTATTATTATTATTATGTATTTAAATGTATCATTATATTATTTTATTGTTGTTATGTACTTATATTATTATTTTTTATTATTTAATATTATTGTGTATTATTTTATATTTATTTAATATTAGTAGTATTTGTTATCATATCAATTTTTTTTTTTTTTTATATTATTTGATTATATTTAATATTAGTATTATTTATTATTTTACAAA